CATTTGCGCCGCCCCCCTTTTGGTCCCTGCCACTTTAGGAGCAGCAAACAGGCAGCAGCCAGGTGCGTGATGAGCCAGCCATTTTGGTCCAGGGATATAAGCTGGGCTGCAGTTTGCTGCAGGAAGAAAGGTGAAAACATTAGGCTGAGACGCTGCTCTGGCCAGAGTCAGGAGGTAAGGGCAGGGACTATGGGGAAAAGGTGACCTCTTGTCCTGGGTAAGATGCAAAACTGCACCTTACTGAGGAAGGGTGGTCTGGTGGGGCTCCTAGTGGCATGTGAGCCCCCAGGAAATGCCAGGCCAGTTACCACCCCCATGAAAGGTGGGTCAGGGTGCATTAAGCCCAGCCCCACATTCCTGGTGGTGTTCTGGTGAGCAGGGGGAGCCCAGGGCTTAGTTAAGGAGCCCTGAGGTAGAGCTTGGGCTGGAGGAAAGACCTGGGGCTGCACCCAGGTGGCAGAGGATAGCCTGTTGACAGTTAGAGAGACCCCAAGTAAGAGGGGTGACTGTTAGAGAGACCCTGATTGCCTTGGTTTCTTCAGTTATTTGATTGTCCTTTGTGATTACTGGGCACTTACTTATACACATGCTGTAGGAGGTGGTGGGTAGGGGGTGCTTTAACTAGACCAGGTCTGAAAGCTATTCTAATTACAGCACCTGGAGCATCATGTGCATCAGTGTCCCCACGCTGAAAAATGGTGGCATGGGTGCTTTAATTAAAGCTCGTTTGACAAGTCTCAGTCAGGGTTTGAATTACTCTTTGACTCTTGGGGGGGTGGGGAAGTCTGCAAAAAAACCCCCAAAACTGGTTCATTGGAAGGAGGAATCCAATTGGAGACCCCCCTCAGTTTATGATTTTCAAATCTTACAGGGGGGCTCTCGTCTCTGACCCCCCCCCGAGCTCCCCCATAATTTGCACCCTGGCTTTAGTTAAAATGCCCCCCCCCCCCACACCATTTTTCAGCATGGGAACACTGGAGTCTGCTGGACCATGGTTGAGTCTGCTCCAGCAGACTCAATTAATCAAGTCTGCTCTGACGCTCTGTAATTACAGCACGTCAGAGCAGCCTTGATTACGTGTATAGACACCCACTGTTTCTAAATATTTACATTTTTCTACATTTTCCACATTATCATTCCCTATCCTTATCTTCCTGTGATATTGAGATTTATTTCTGGATGTGATCATGTATTTTTGTCTTGCTGACATTGCCAAAGAAGTTGGGCTTCCTATCATCGATGGTGTTTCTTTCTCTTTTTTTTGGTACTATTTCCATTTCCTCTCTTAGGCAGTACTAGCTGCATACACAAATTTCTGGTGCAGTCTGTTTAGCTGCAAACCTTTTCCCCCTTCAGCAGGGTTTCTTGTGATCTTCTCAAGCATCAAATGGAAAAGCATCCATGACAGTGCATCCTCTTGTTTGAGCCCACTACTGATTTCCATTGGATCTGATACATGAGAATTGAAGTAATGGTAACTCCTTTAGTCTTCAATACACATCTTAGCAATGCATTCCAGTCTTTTTGGGAATTCCAAACCTCACCATGATTGATCACAGTGGATACATCTACACATGAGTTTAAGGCATAGCAATAAACTCTGAAGCTGTTTGAGCCAGAGTAAACTGCTTCTGGGCACAGTGTCTATACATGTGCCCAGGACAGCAGCAATTTTAGCTGGGGTGGAGCAGGCCTGGGCTGGCAGGGAAGCAAGGGGTCATCCCCAGACTCCAAGAGGCAGTATCAGGCAGCAGAGGGGGTGGCTGGGGCATAAGGCTGCTAACCCTGCAGAGCCACGTGGCTAGGTGGCAGGCAGGAGTCTGGCCCCTGCTCAGTCACCATCAATATGTGAATTTCAGTGCGGTAAATGACCCCTCCGTAAAACTGCAGTTAATTTCTCCACTGTAAGAGAGTACTGCCCCCAACAGTACTATCTTATGGCAGAGTTAATTATTTTCCTGCACCCTATTATTTGCACATGTGTAGTTGGTGACACTTTACTGCAGAGTTAATTGGTCTACTCTGCACTAAAACATGTGTGTAGATGCACCTAGTGACTCCCTTCTAATACTATCATAAGTTTTATCAAATCTATGTAAACTTAACGTATAACTTTCACAACTTCCCATTTCTTTTCCAACAATAATCTTATTGATTAAAAGATTAAGAAGTTGATATATTTTTCTTGAACCTACAGTGGTAATCTTCCACAATTAATGACACATTACTATCATTATATTAGTCTTAAGAGCCCCAGTCATAAATCCCATTTTACCAAGAGCTAACCAAACAGAGAACAAAGAAATGTTCCTTTCCTCTGAGAGCTTTCAATTTCTGCTGATTTCCTACCCTCCAATGCAGATAAATGTAACAAGTTGGATAAAACAATGTATATAAATGATCTATTTAATACTGGGCATCAGGGTCTATGAGGAAGTCAACATTATTTATCTTCTAAAGGCACCATTATTTATGTTCTTATGCCCCTTAATGTTAAGCAAAAATTCCTATGTCATTTCAACAGGGCACGACCAAGCCCAGAGAGTACTGAGTTTATTTTTGTGAATGTCATAAGACTGTTATTTTGTTAAGTATTCTTACCTGCACAGCTAACAGCCCAATATTGACTGCAATTAAGAACAGAGTGTTGTTTTCAAACCACATTTTAATATACTCTTCACATCCCTAAGGAAATGGAAATGAACAGAATAAGGTTTACAATGTGTACCTGTTAACATGTTATGCAAAAACTTCCTTCCATGACCTGATAATTCTAACACTACAGAAGGCAGTAACTGTATTAGTGTGTTTCTAGCCTTTTAATTGTTTAGGCAGTTAAAAAAAAAGACTGAAGGTAACAGTTTTAGATTCAAACATACTGCATTTTACATTGAGGTAAAAAGGACTACACTTCTGTAGGAGAATAAATGATAGTTGGTTTTTCTAGGCAGGCAAGGTTCTTTGGGCACATATGATATCTTTATTAGACTGAGTAGTTGGAAATTTTTTTGCAAGCTTTTGAGCACAAGCACCCTTTTTCAGGCAGTGGGAGACTGCTGTTGTTCTGAGATGTCCAAGGTGGGAAAGAAGCTAAAAGTGTGACAGGAGGTCAGTGAAAATACTCAAACACCAACATTTCCTTTTTGGACACCATGATGAATATCCAAAATGGTAAAAAACAAACCACCATATACAAGAAACCCATGGACCAACATACATATCTACATAGAACCAGCAATCGCCCTAAATGCACCAAAAAAGCTGTAATTTACAGCCAAGTTCTCAGATACCACTGAATTTGCACGGAGGAGAATACCTGCAATTGCTACCTAACAAAGCTCAAAAGGGCTTTCACCCAACAAGGACAATCCGCTAGAGACAGAGATTGTACTTTTGAAAGTGCCACCTATATACCATGCAAAGATCTGCTGCAGCAAAAAAAGAAAATCCCCACAAATTGAACACCATTAGTTATGACATACAATCCTTCCTTGGAACCTATACGAAAATCCTCAAACAACTGCAACCTATACTAGAAGACCCAGTTCTTAGAGATCTTTCCGGAACAACTCATTCTAGCCTTCAAACAAGCACCAAACCTTGCTAACCTCATCACCAGAAGAAAACTCCCTATGACCCAAACCACACCAAATGAATCCAGACCATTCCAGAACAAGAAATGCAAAACCTGACAACACATCTCCACCACTCCCACTATAACCACATCCCACAACAGAACCATCACCATTCCTGGATCTTACACCTGAACCTCCAGAAATGTAATATCTCATCCAAAGCACCAAGGCTAGGGACAGACATGATACATAAACTGGTTTACATGATCAGAAATTGGTTTAAAGCTGTAACAGAACAGATGTTCAGTACACATAAACCAGTTTGAAAATTGGCTGAAACCATTTTGAGATAAACCTGGTTGAATGTAGTATTAGACTTAACTAATTTGGCTCAAACCAGTTTATGCTATGTCTGTCCCAGACTCCTTGCTAGTTTAAGATAAACCAGACATCCCCAGCATCCTGGCGTGCTCTCTGGGCTGGCTGTGGCTCTCTGCTCCACAGCAAGGCTGGCCCCTTCCCTCTGCTCCCTGGCTGGAGCTCCAGCACAGACTGCAGGTACAACAGGGTCTGACTGGCTTCCCCTGGCGCGACCCCCTCGCTGGTCAAGCAGGAATTTCCCCCCTCCCCCCAAGCTCTCACAGTGCTGACTCCAGCCCCACCGACCCTATGCATGTCGTACGCTAGCTAATGCAGAGAGGTGTCTGTGTGTTTGTCTCCAATTTCACTGGGATAGGCAGACAGAACAGTGACTGCTTAGGGCTTTTTGGAACTGATCAACAGGTCAGGTGGTAACTTATTTAAGAAGTGTTTGAACTAATGGAGAGAGGCTATTGTTTTGCTGATGGAGTGATAAACACTTATCAGCCCCCTGCTGGTTTGCTTACCTGTCAGTTTGCTGCAGACACTATAAAGAAGCAGGGAAGGAGATTGTTGATGCTATGGAGCTTTTCAGATGCATGCACTGCACACCTGCCTTGCCTCAGAGTGCTAGCAGGGGGCTGAGGGCTGGCAACACTCCCACCCCTTGAGCAGTAAGTGGGGAAAAGCCTGGGATGGTGCAGGCAGACCTCCCTAATCAGAGGTCCTGCTGGGGCCTGGTCATGCCCCCCCCATCTCATCTCTGTGGAAAGGAAGGGAGAGCTGCTCTAGTGCCGCCTGGCTTCCAGCCTGAGCCACTGCAGGCATGTGTCTGAATTCCCCCAGTCCAGATAAAATGTGTGTCTGGTTATAAACTGGTTCAGCCTAGCCAGGTTAGATTGAATCTATTCAGGCTCAGGCTTTTTGAAGGTCTGTCCCTAGCCCAAATACCCTGATGGAAAATATGTAGGAAGAACAAAACAACTGCGTACCAGAATGAACACACACTGAAAATCCATCAAAGAAAAGAATATCCAATTATCTGTGGGTGCACACTTCTCACAAGACAATCACTCCCTCTCTGATTTCTCAGTCCTAATCCTCAAAGGGAATGTACAAAATGTCGGGACCCAAGGCAGCCGGCCAGCAGCTTTCCCTGACTCCCACCCGGGCAGTTAAGGGTCCGTCAGGCAGGTACTTGTGACGCGTGGAGTGGAATTAATTAGGCGGACGCTTATCGGTTGTAAAGCAAGATTATTTACTCACGCTGTCAAGGTGGTGAAAGACGGAGGTTAGAAATATTTGGTTAGTTACAGCTTATAGGTCATAGGTCGGTCTGCATAGATTCATAGAT